CCCCAACTACGACAACAACCACATGACGTGGAAGCATATACGAGGAACTTAGTGACGCAGTTTTCAACTATTTTCCGACCTGGATTGGGTCGGTGCTCTTCCATTAAAGCAACACATCGATTGAAAACTGGAGCTAAGCCTGCTTTTCATCCAAAGAGACCTGTGCTTTATGCAACATTACAAACAGTAGATGAAGAATTGAATCGCCTTCAACAACAAGGAGTTATTACTCCCGTTCCTACTCTGCATGGGCAGCACCTATAGTTGTTATCAAAAAGGCCGACGGCACGATACGTATATGTGCTGACTTTTCAACAGGTCTCAATGCAGCTCTGAAACAACATCATTATCCCCTGCCTGTTCCCGCAGACCTATTTACCATGCTGAATGGGGAAAGGTTTTTGGCTAAACTGGATCTAGCTTATGCTTATTTGCAAGTGGAAGTAGATGAAGCATCAAGAGAGCTGATAACTATCAATATCCATCGTGGTTTGTTCCAGTATAACCGTCCATCTTTCGGGGTCAAAACTGCCCCATCTATTTTCCAGCAATTAATGGATACCATCGTATCAGGTATCTAGGGAGTCGCGGCTTATCTGGACGACATTTTAACTGTAGCGACGACGTTAGAACAGCTACGAGAACGCACGACATTGGTATTGCAACGCATCAGTGACAACGGGTTCCGGTTACGCTCAGAGAAATGCCGGTTTTATTTGCAGTCGGCAAAGTACTTGGGGTTCGTTTTCGATGTCGACGGCCGCAGACCGGATCCTGAGAATATCCGACCTATCAAACTGATGCCCACTCCCACTAATGTCTCGGCACTAGGTTCCTTCCTGGGACTTGTCAGCTATTACTCAGCGTTCGTTCCATCGACGCATGATATTCGCGCTTCACTGAATAGCTTACTGCAGAAGAACAGCTCTAGGAACTGGACCAAACGGTGTGACGCTGCATTTCGTAAACTGAAAACCATTATTAGTTGGGAATTGTTGTTGACACACCACGATCAAGTCATGCCGATCATCGTAGCGGCAGATGCTTCATCTTATGGCCTAGTCGCTGTTATCTAACATCGGCTCCCGGATGCGTCGGATAAAGCCGTTATGCATGCGTCACGCATTCTAACCTCAGCAGAAAAAAATACAGTCAGATAGAAAAAAAGCTCTTGTGCTTTTGTTTGCTGTGCACCGTTTTCACAAGTTCCTGCACGGTCGGAGATTCACGCTTCTCACAGATCACAAGCCTTTACTCGCAATATTCGGGTCGAAATCTGGCATTCCAGCTCATTCTGCAAATCGTCTTCAAAGATGGGCCTTAGCACTCTTGGGGTATGATTTCGAGATCCAGTACCGACGCACTCAACAATTCGGTCAGGCGGATGCCTTATCACGACTCATTAGCGACCAGTTGGCGGCAGAGGAAAACACGTTAATCGCTTCTCTGCTAGCGGAAGACCACGCCGAATGTTATATGACGACCGCAATACGAGCTTTGCCGGTATCTGCAACAGACATACAAAATGCTTCTAAGAGCAACCCCATCATCAAGATGACTATGAGCTGTCACCAACGGTTGGCCGTCTAAGAAGTTTGATGGTGACATGAAACAGCTGTATCAGCGGCGGGATTCGCTATGCATTGTAAACGATTGCTTGATGTTCGGAGAAAGAGTGGTTGTGCCAGAATCCCTTCGTGTAAAAGTGCTAAAACAGTTCCACCTTGGTCATATGGAGGTTAGACGAATGAAATCCATAGCCAGGAGTCATGCATATTGGCCGCTAATGGATCAACACATAACAGAACTGGTTGGAAAATGTATGCGGTGTCAGCAAGCGGCAAAGGTGAACGCCAAAGTTCCACCAGTTTCATGGCCATAACCTGATCATTCTTGGTCCAGGATACACGTCGACTTTGCAGGCCCGATTAACGGAAGCATGTATCTAGTTTTAGTCGACGCCCCTTCGAAATGGCCAGAAATCAACCCTATAATACCGCCAACGACGACTAAAACAATACGAATCCTCACAGAAATTTTCTCCCGAAATGGTATACCGGATGCCATTGTATCTGACAACGGTTCACAGTTCACCTCCAGCTGATTCCAGTCATTCTGTCAACGGCTAGCCATAAAGAACTTTCGGTCGCCACCATACCACCCGCAGTCGAACGGGCAAGCAGGAAGGTTTGTGGATACGTTTAAAAGAGCTTCGGCTAAGTCAAAAGGGGAGGGGATGCCAGCGGACGCGTTGCGAAATTTCTTATATGTATACCGAACAACACTAAATGAGAGGTTGCCGGAGCAAAAGTCCCCAGCAGAGATCCACTTGGGAAGAATACTCAAGACGATCCACAGCCTGATGCATCAAAGTAATGCACCGACACAACAACGGAAAATGTTTGAAATGCAATCCACGTACGAAGTGGGATGTCCTGTGTTTACCCATGACTACAGACCTATGGCCCATGGACGGAAACGCAAATGGTCAGAAGAGTTCGCCGAGTCATGTACGAAGTTGAGGTAGGCAGCGACAGGTGGCGACGCCATCGGAGTCAGTTACGCAAACGGCTAGCCCTAAGACCGCCCATCAACCGAAGCAAATATTCCCCTTGACATCCTGATAGACACATTCAACTTACAGGCAGCTCCACCACATGAAAAACCTCAAAAACAAGCTGAAACACGTTCCAAACTGTGGCCTCTCCGACAGCGGCGAATAATAGTCAAGATGCATGTCGACCCCAATAAACGCACGCAATTAAAAAGGGGAGGAGTGTTGGGGACGTTAAATCCCCAAAACTCATATTTTGTAATTTTATCTTGTGAAGCTTGTATGCAGATGTATGTTTGGGCATTTCTTACCACCCACGCACATAGTCGATTGACGAACTTATCGATTAAATGTTTTTAAAAACTTCCATGACAAGATCGATTATATATATTTTGTATAAATACGCTTGATTCGTGTGCTTGATGGACCTGGTATCTTCTGGTTGTCTGTAGAATACACTTTCTACATCTTACCAAGACTTCTGGATCGAGTTAGCTGAGTCGGGGACAACGGATCAGTATAGCCTATCGAGTCTCTGAATCCTTGATTCTTCGTTCCGTTCCGAGTAAGACGAATCACTAGTAGCATTCAAGTTTTACGACCATAATAATTAATCACTAGGACCCACACAGGAAAACCAGAAACTCAAGTATATCAGAAGCCGACCCACACAGATCAAATTCTCAATTACATGAGCAACAATCCGAAAGCTCACAAAATCAACTGCGAACAAACTTTTTCAAGAGGGTGAGGACACACTGAAGCATTCTTGCAGCGCAGAAAAACTGAAGAAAAATTTCTAAAGACTATCTTTCAAAAGAACGGCTACCCGATCAACTTCATCGAAAAAGACTAACCGAACGCGTAAGCAGAAACAAAATCAAGTACAGAAACCAACAAACGGATCATCCTATCATATGTAAAAGGCATATCAGAAATTACAATGAGACTGTTAAAGCCTTTTGGAGTAGGTGTAACACACAAGCCAACAAAATCACTTCGGCCAATCCTATACAAACCAAAGGACGAAATGACAAAAGAAGAAAAACCAAACACCATCTATAAAATAAATTTTTCCCACTGCGAAAAACTACATCGAACAAAGAGGACGCCTCTTCATCTTCGCCTACATGAACATCAATTAGCGGTCAGACGCCATGATATATCCTCGCCTATATCAATCTAAGTGGATAATTGTGGACACACATTCGACTGGAAAAATGTTGAGATCTTGGATAGAGACAATTCTAAAAACATTAGGGAATTTTTAGAAGCTTAGCACTCATGTCAATCAGCAATGAACAAACACATTGAGATTGACCCAACCTATCAACCAATCAGGAAAATTATGGGAAAATATAGGATCAAGAATCAAATCAATGGGAGATACAACCAAAATAACGAGGTAAAAAATGACAGGTTAAAGCTCAACAATAGCCGGTCAAGATCGAGGTCTACAGGACAAACTGTGATTTATATGTGGAGAAATACGAACACTTCACTTCTACCTGAAGCTTGTGCTGATGTCATTCAGAATAACAATAAAAGCTCCACGACCAAACCATTCAGTCCAGAGAATAAAACTCCACCCAAGTCATCCACCTGAGCTACAAATCTCCATCATCTCATGGTAGTGATATTTCAATTTAATATTTGATGTCATATGAACCACCATTTCTTGACTATTTTATGAAATAATTAATATTTGTACATAATTTTTTCACCGATGAAACTGCTTTATCCTCCAAATGTTTTTGTGAACTGTCTGAGTATTTCAGTCTATTATAAATTTGAATGACTAGACGGAAATAGTCTTTAGCTTTGAAATATTCGGCTAAGCGCAAAAGATACTTCAGGTTATATAACAGTAATAAAAACATCATAGAGAAGAAATAATAATTTGGCATTAGGTTTTTATACAACAAAACATATATTCTTATTTTTTTACGTTTCGTAATAGAGGAATCAGATATTCCACTAACTTCTTAATGGTTATGAAACTGCTCGTCCCAAAAAGAGATAAATGTACAACTGGACCAAAATATATAGTGAATGGATTAGCAATTAAAACACTTGAATCCCTCCACGCTTACTTCAATTTAAGCAGTCAGGTAGTCTCGTTAGACTTTACGAGGACAATTGTCAATAATTAATTATGATACTGCATTCAACCTAAATTACATCAAATATATACTTTAGATATTTCTAGTCAATAGTAAAATACCACGTTTATGTGCTACATTTTCGATAACAATGCATACTATACTTACAAATATAAGTTTAACAGTAAACTGCTTTTAATACTCACTAGTGATTTTAGACTACAGACAGCTAACGACAAATGATGTCCTCCAAAGGTATCTGAAAAACAAGGCTACTCAAAGTGATAAACTTCAAAGCTACGGGAACTGACTTTACAAGTAGGTGAAAAAAATTGTCAACATACGTTCTTTACATCCTCTGTACATGCGTTTACGGGGAATTTCATTAAGACCTGAGACATCAAATCCCAAATCTATTAACCCAAGTACAATATCGCTCAAAAGAATTGAAGTTCTCCCACTGCTTTCAGCATTCATTAGTGAGGAAACAGCTAAGTCTTCTGTAACTACGGAAAGCAAATATGTAGAGAATGAGGTCACCATGAAGTAAATTAATAATATACATTATGTATATAAACTTTAAGAACTGCTTTTGTCTACCTGTTTTGCTAATTTTTTAGAACCAACTACTAACCTTACTTTAAATCGCACTATTTATTTTACTGTTCTTCATCTTGACTTATATAGTTTCAGTTTGTTTATTTATTCACTATTATTTGCTCAGACATTTCGAACATAAATATTCCATTATTGAGTCACTGTATAAATATACTAGAAGTGTTATTAAAAATGTACAATGAAGAAGTATTCCATGTACAGTCACAAATTACATTCTTAACAGACTTTTACATGTCTTTTTAATATCGCGATTTCGGTACTAGGAGATGTAATTACTTCAGACATGAAACTTCAAGAGTAGAAACAGATTTATTAACATTGTAATTATAAACAATTAAAATCGAAATCATTTTGAAATCTATGTTAATAGTATTTACGTCGTAAATGAAAAACATCTTATACAGAATACGAAACCTGAAAATGTGTATAATAATTAATTAGTCTCAAGTTGCCGTGATATTACATGTCTTCTAATACTGAAGACCAAAGGAAGTTATTACACTAAAACATGACATAGGTGACCAGGTGTTCGGTGTGTCGACAATGTAAGCTTACTGGTAATGATTTCTAAAAAATCATGTTATTGCTAGAAAAAGGACTAAGACCGATGGTATTCACCTATCTTTCATGAAAATAGAAAGCTTTATTATTCTATTCCTAATCACGTCGATAATTTCCCATCATTACAACTTCACCTTTTCCTAATTAATGTACGTACATTTGGTCATAAAAAAGATTTTAAGAGTATCTTTAATTCACGTAACTATCTTAACAGACATACAACGAAAGCACAATTTACTTCAAAAAATTATAGACACGGGCACAACAAACAACTGAAGTAAATATATTAAAAATAAGAATACAGAACTCCACCTGTAGCACTTCTAGAGTTACTGACGGTCTCAAGCCCAAGTACAGGAGGAGAGTTGAGCATGGATTCACCAACCCCATCCCGTAGAAAACTAACTCGCTAAAAATAACAAGCCAACCATAATAAAAAAATTAAACAATTTGAACTCTGCCCTGGGAGATCAAGGAAGAATTACGACACATGATGAAAGTCGAGATTCTTCCAAAGTCACGAGGGCGATGCCCCTTCTAACAACCAGAGCAGCAATTGACATAGGCACATGGAACGTCCGGACAATGTGGGAGACCAGGAAGACCAGTCAAATAGCAACAGAATGAGGAGATACAACCTGGTAATACTGGGAATCAGCGAAAGCCATTGAACCCAAGCTGGACAACAAAGGCTAGATACGGGAGAGATGCTGCTATACTCCGGCCACGAAGGGGAAAATGCTCCACACACTCATGGAGTTGCTCTAATGTGTCCAAAGAAGCACAAAATGCACTTGTAGGATGGGAATCTCACGGATCCAGAATCATCAAAGCATCAATCAAAACAAAGGAGGGAATCACGATGAATGTTACCCAGTGTTATGCACCCACCCACACACAAACCATGAACTCTATGACTATGGCAACTAATTTTCTCGCTCTGATCAACATTCAATCGATTCCAATAATTATTACTATTATTGTCATTATTAATACCATTATTATTACCATTATTGTCATTATTATTATTATTATTATTATTATTATTATTATTATTATTATTATTATTATTATTATTTTCCACATTGTTCACCCACTTTTATACTTATACAGCGGCTCGTCTTTGGTGGAAATTCGACTGTATCTAAACGTTCTCGAGTCACTGTCCGGTTGAAAATTGTATGCTACCACCGATTACGAGAACTGAAGCAGTTTTTCTGAAACCACGTGCACCATTCAAACTGGCTGCCTTCAACGTTCGCACGCTAGTGCAGGTCGGACAACAGATAGGGCTGGCTATGTCTTTGGAAAGTCTTAATATTGATGTTTGTTGTCTATCCGAGACCCGTATTCAAGACTCTGGCGAAGTACTACAAATTCGATCTCCATCTGTCGCTTCGAAAAGCTTCTTTTACGTGCGCTTATCCGGGGACCCTGTGGCATCTTCGTTTGGTCTTGCTGGCGTTGGTGTCGCACTAAGCGCTAGAGCTGAGGCAGCACTAGTTGATTGGATCCCCATTAACAGTCGGCTATGTGCTGTTAGATTAGAAAGTTCCATCAAAGTGAGAAGAAATCGGCGTAAGAAACGATGTCTTTTCGTCATCTGTGCCTATGCCCCGACAGATTGCAGCCCGGATGCAATCAAGGATGAGTTTTACCACCAGTTATCTGTTCTTCTCCAGAAAGTGCGCTCGACAGATATCGTAGTACTAACCGGAGACTTGAATGCTCAGGTCGGGCGTCTAGGCAAAGAAGAAAGTCGTTTAGGTGGCCGATGGGGACTCGTTGGTCGCAGGTCAGATAACGGGGACCGTCTACTGCAACTTTGCACAGACCACAACCTGTTTCTGGCTAGCACTAACTTTCGGCACAGTCATCGCCGATGTGCCACCTGGCGTCCTCCCTCTGCATCCCAAGCCTGGACTCAGATTGATCACATCGCGATCAGCTACCGCTGGCGTGGTTGTGTAAAAGACTACCGCTCCTTTTGGAGTACCTATCTGGACTCTGACCATGCCTTGGTCTGCGCCAATCTTGCCTTACTTTTCAGTGGACAACGAAGTGACCACCACCAAAGGATTGATGTCAGCAAGCTGGTTGCAACTTCTGTTGCAAGTAAGTATCGAACCGAGCTAGCCTCTAGGCTAGCTACCACCCCACCGAAAAGTATAGATGAGCATTGGTTGCAATTGCTTGACGCCATGAAAATGGCGGGAACAGTCAGTTGTGGGTTTGCGAAACGTCCCGCTTTTAAGCACTGGGTTTCTTCTGGTTCCTTACAACTCATTGAAGCCCGTCGGTCCACTCCGGGTGACCGTGAGTTTGACCATAAACGAAGGATGTTACGTAGGGAAATCGGGCAAAGCTTGTGTAAGGACCGAGAAGCCTGGTGGTCGGAGCGTGCTAATGAGCTGGAAGCAGCAGCTGCATCTGGTAACTACCGGAAGCTCTTCCAGCTCATCCGAGCCACTGGCAGCAAGAAGTCTGGTGTGAGTGAAACAATCTGCGAGGATGATGGGATGCCAATCACTAACATCCATCGACGTCTTGGACGATGGGCAGAATATTTCGAAGGGCAGTTCAACTGGCCTGCTGCTCCGGCAACAGCGGTCAGACTGTCCTGCCCTCCATGGCCGGTGACGACTGATCCACCAAACGAGGAAGAAGTCCGCAAGGAACTCCAACTCTTGAAGCGTTACAAATCACCTGGCCCAGATGACTTACCTCCGTCTCTTTTTAAAGATGGTGGTGACTTTTTGACTAAGGAATTGAAGACGTTGTTTACAAAGGTTTGGGAATTAGAGAGTGTACTAACGTCATGGAATGAGTCGATAGTTGTCCCTATCTTTAAAAAGGGTTCACGTCGTTCCTGCAACAACTATCGGGGGATAAGTCTACTTCCGATTGCGTCCAAGCTATTGGCTTCCGTCATACTTCGTAGGTTGTTCAAAACCCGAGAAAGATTGACTCGCGAGGAGCAGGCTGGGTTTCGTTCTGGTCGAGGTTGTATTGATCATATCTTCACCCTCCGCCAAATGTTAGAACACCGTCATACTTATCGAAGGCCAACAATCGTAGTGTTTCTTGACATCAGGGCTGCCTTCGATTCGTTGGACAGGACTGTTATCTGGGATTGTCTATTGAAGAAGGGTGTGCCTGAGAAGTTTATTAACATCCTAAAGGCCTTATATACAAACACCTCAGGCAGAGTGAGGGCATACAACCACCTCTCTCCATTGTTCCATTCGAGTAGTGGGGTTAGGCAGGGTTGCCCAATCTCACCATTCCTCTTCAACTTTGCCATCGATGACATTCTGGAAACAGCTCTGATGAATGTAAGTAATGGTGGTGTGGATCTGTTGCCTGGAGAAAGACTTCTCGACCTTGAGTATGCGGACGATATTGTCTTACTGTGCGATAATGCCCAAGGCATGCAATCCGTACTTAATCAGTTGGCAATCAGTGTCCGTAGGTATGGTATGTGCTTTGCACCTTCGAAGTGCAAAGTACTTCTACAAGACTGGTAGGATTCCAATCCTGTACTCACCCTGGATGGTGAGCAGATAGACGTAATCGAGAAGTTCGTGTATCTGGGTAGCTGCATAAGTGCTGGTGGTGGTGTGAGTGATGAGATCAATGCACGTATAGTGAAAGCCAGAGTGGCTTATGCCAATCTGGGCCATCTTTGGCGCCTTCGTGATGTTAGTCTGGCTGTAAAAGGTCGGATCTACAACGCGTCGGTGATAACAATTTCGCTCTATGCTTGTGAAACCTGGCCTCTCCGAGTTGAGGATGTTAGACGACTCTCCGTGTTTGATCATCGCTGTCTCCGAAGGATTGCTGACATTCAGTGGCAACACCATGTTAGTAATGCAGAGGTTCGGCATCGTGTGTTTGGGCACAGAGATGATAATTCAATTGGTGTCACCATCTTGAAACACCGACTTCGGTGGCTTGGACATGTTCTACGAATGTCGTCCCAGAGAATTCCACGTCGTGCATTATTTGCCGACTCTGGGACTGGTTGGAAAAAGCGGAGGTGGTCAGTGCATGACATGGTGTCGTGGTATGAAAGAAAGCTGCAAAGGACTGGCTTCTGTCGGTCCTTCACGACTCCCTGGTTGGGGTCTGAGAGATGGTGCTACACAGTGGCTAGAGACGTTATCAGATATGGCTCAGAATAGAAGCCAGTGGCGATCCTGCTGTAACCTTCTTTTACTTTCTTCATAAAAAGTGGTTGTGTCTCCCTTACTTGAAAGATTTCTACTGATTGTACCTTTCTGTTCCATCGTTACGACCACACTACCTTTTGTGGTCCTTAGTTTTTTTTTTCTATCTCTCTTCGAATTTTCATTGTTTTGTGTGGCGCATATATATTGGCGCTCTCTTGTACCAATATTTATGTGTTCAAATAAATAAATAAATACCAATAAAAGCAACGACGACCATAAAGATCAGTTCTATGGGAGGCTGTAATCAATCATAACGAAATGTCCAAGAAAGTATCTCATCATCTTGATGAGAGACCTACACGCCAAAGTCGGAATAGATAACGACGGATATGAAGATATCATGGGACGACATGGACTGGAAGAGAGAAACGAAAATGGGGCAAGATTTGCAAATCTGTGTGCATTCAACAAATTGGTCATAAGCGGCACAATATTCTCACACGAACGCATACACAAAACTACGTGGGTCTCACCGGATCACACCACAGAGAACCAGATAGATCATATTTGTATCAATAAAAAAATTCCGAAGGACAATGGAAGACATGAGAACCAGGAGAGGGGCTGACACAGCTTCAGATCACTAACCAGCTGTGGCCAAGATGAATCTGAGGCTTAAAAAAAAGGACTGGACAACTGGATAAACAACACTACAAAGGTTCAATACAGCCTTCCTTCGAGATACTGACAAACTCAATGAATTCAAGATAACTCAAAAACAGGTTCCAAGCCTTACAAGATCTACCGAAGGGAGGAGAAACTACTATGAAGGACAACTGGAAAGGTATCAAAGAAGCATGAACCTCAACGTGTCAAGAGGTTCTGGGCATCATCATAAGGAATAGATCTCTATAGAAACACTGGACAGGGTCAAAGAAAGGAAGAACAAGAAGACAGCAATTAACAACAGCCGAACACGAGTAGAGAAAGTCTAAGCACAAGCTGAATACATAGAAGCAAACAAACAAGTGAAGGGGAGCATTAGAGCCGACAAGAAAAAATACGTGGAAGAACTAGCAACAACGACGGAAAAAGTCTTCAAGAGAACGAAATATGAGACAACTCTATGATAAAACGAAGAAACTATCAGAGAAATGCAGTGAACCAAAGAGACCGGTCAAGGACAAAGAAGGCAGAACAATCACTAAGATTAAAGAGCAGAGGAACAAATGGGTAGAATACTTCAAGGAACTCTTGGATAAACAATCTACACGCACTGGATATCGAAGCAGCACCTGCAGACCTTCTTATAGACTTCACTCCACCAACGACGGAAGAAATCAGGACGGCCATTAGATAAATACCAGCTAAAGCTCTGAGGTCAAGTATAAAAGTAACTCCACACATGCTCCACATTCTATTCAGGAAGATTTCGGAGGAATAAGTGCCGATGGACTGGGAAGAAGAACACCTCAACAAGATATCAAAGAAAGGTCTGAGCAACTGTGAGAACTACATAGGCATCACACTATTATCGGTATCAGGAAAGTTTTAAAGTGTTGCTGAACCGGATGAACAATTCAATAGACACCTAACTTTGAGATTAACAGACCGGATTCCGTAACGGTCAGTAGTGCACAAACTAAATCGCGACACTACGGATCATCGTTGAGCAATCGATTGAACGGAATTTGTCATTATACATCAACTTCGATGATTATGAGAAAGCATTCGACAGTGCGGATAAGAAAACTTAACGGGAACTTTTTCGACACTATGGTGTACGTGAGCAGATCAATGTAATACGGAATTCATACGACGGACTACAGTGTAAAGTTGTGCATGTAGGACAGCTGACAGATGCATTCCCAGTGAGGACCGGAGTCAGACAAGGCTGCTTACCCCACTTTCTTTCTTCTGATGGTCGATTGGATTATGAAAACCTCGACATCTGAGGAAAAGCAAGGAAAACAATGGACATCTCGGAATCAATCAGAAGACTTGAACTTCACAGTTGATTTGGCCTTTCTATCCGAAACACACGAACAAATGCAAGTCGAGACAAAGAGTATAGCAGCTGTCTCTGCATCAGTAGGTCCCAACATACAGAAGGGAAAAACCAAGATCCTCAAGTACAATACAGAGAACACCAACCCAATCTCACTCGGTGGAGAAACTCTGTAAGAGGTGGAATCTTTCACGTACCTGGGTGGTAGCATCATCGATGAACAAGGAGGTTCTGATGCAGAAAGGCAGGGATTGGCAAAGTATGGGCAGCATTCCTAAAGTCGAACAACATATGGAACTCAAAACAAGTGTCAACCAACATCAAAGTCACAATCATCAATACGAACATCATAACAGTCCTACTGTACGGAGCTGAAACGTGGAGAACTACCACAATCATAATCAAAAAGGACAAGTATTTATAAACAGTTGTCTACGCTAGATACTCAATGTCCGTTGGCCGGTAACCATCAGCATCAACCTACTATGGGAGAGAACAAACCAGCTCCTATCTCAAGAGAAAATTGGGAAGTGGATAGAACATACATTGCAGAAAACAACAAACTGCATCATGAGGCAAACACTAACTCGGAACCCTGAAGGGAAACGGAAAAGAAGACCAAATTACACATTGCGTCAAAAATTGGAAACAGACATTAAAAGGATGAATGTCTATTAGAAAGGATTGCCCAGGACAGAGTTGGATGGAGAATGCTGGTGGCCGGCCTATGCTCTACCACGAAGGGCAACAGGCATAGGTAAGTAAGTATGAATCCAGACATTAAATCTACGTCAGTTATTAGACGAAGTTACATTGATTTGAAACCTAACATACATGAAACATGTCATCTAGAGAAATAAATATGAGTGGTAAATTCAAAAAACCATTGGTTAAAAATTTTCACCAACTGTTAGAAACTACACTTACAAGAAAAGAAAAGATTTGAAAGTACTCTCAACGCTGCGTACTCAATAGATGTATATCCAACTGATAAGGCAAGATAACCAATAGCACCTTCAACAACATCCAAAACACCCTGGGGGCATTCTCCGCCTGTCAATAACCGACTAGACATTTCAGAAACTTCTGAAAAAATGTAGATAAAAATTTGCATTTTCAGTAAAAATAAACTACAAAAAAATTATAAAGGCGAAGATGACTATAATTTTTACCTGTATCCAGGACAAGGCTGGATATGGGTACTTTAATGGACACTACTCGCTAACACCACCTGAAGGGAAAAACTTTGATGACAGGTCACACTTCTCAAAATGTCACTATTAGCATACCTAGACACTTCTCAGAAACCGATACAACCATAAAATATATCAACTTAATTCAAAGGTTGTTTTTTCGGATTAAAGATAAAGATAAGGGGTATTGGTGTCTCGAGGCTTAATAAAAGGTGATAACTAGGTCTTACAACCTTTAGAGACTATAGACTGATCTCTTTGTTATTGGTCGAAAGTGATTATATCTTATTTCCTACTAACTGGAGTAATCAATGAGGAAATAATCTCAAATGACTAATTACAATTCCCACTGGCAACTGTAAAGACCAATAACTTGTAATTCCCAACTTGAAACACTTTTAGAAGCGAAGTGTTAGGATCCGGTTGGTTTATTAATCCTAACATAGCCAATCTAGTAAAACTTTATAAGAGCTGGAAGAGTAAGCATAGCTCATATGTGAGTAAATTACTGAAAAAAGTTCAATCTGATGTTACAGCCTTAAACGGAAGAATAGTAAAACCACCACTCCACAGAAGAACTAGCTCTCAAGTTTATTAGAAGCATTATAGCTATATATACAACTTTTTTAAATCTGGATCATTTGTGATTACGCACCTTAAAAAATAGGCCCACCATAAAGGAATTATTTGCTGAAATAACCTTTTCACTACTTGATAAGTAACTTTAGACTGATTGAATATACTAATTGGATAGTATAATTTATAATTTATGGGGCGATTCACAGCAGTCGAAAAGAACGGAAAGATGCATAAATATAGTTACTGTATTATCAACGAGTAGTCACGATTAAGGCTATTAATACATCATTCTCTGTATCAATTGTCGATCTAAATCTGCATTCAACTACGTAAATTACCTGTATACGTATATCCTTCTTATAAAAAAAGTCTATCGAGCCCATAGAGATAAAAAATACCCTACAGTTTTATAGTTAGCACCCTGTTTTATTTTATTTGAACACATATTGGTACAAGGGGGCACCGAATACATATACACCACAAAAATCACTTGAGTTGTAAGTGGGCCGAAATACTGCCCGGGTGTCCAGACCGAAGCAGATGATTTTCTTAGGGGGTCACACCCGGAGCCCTTGACCTAAAGGTCTGGTTTACAAGGCAGTGAAGCAACGTCATAAGATGCCGTCCGATGGTAGCCGGTGACCAATAATTGGTTCACACCCCATTTGTCCCCTCAGGAAACCAGAGTCCAAGTGTACCATTGGTTTGGAATCAAGGTCTTCCCACTCCCCGAGGTGGACTCTCCATATCCACTAACCCGGTTAAAGCGCCGGACAGTCGAATTTAGTCCCCTTGATTTCGTAAACAACGCCGCGAGGAGGCAGTGAGTAGGATTTACCTTACAGTGGCTGTATACGCATGGCTATTTGAAAGCATTTCGAGGAGAGCTAACGCTCCCCACTCTCGGGTGTATCAGCGCATCTGGGGGGCCCTGACAAGCACATTATATATGGCTGTAGTTTCAAAGCGCATTTACAGGTGTAAAACTTTGAAATATTTAAGTTTTTGCAGCTTTTCGAGCGTGCTTTGTATGTGGACAAAATATTATACCGCATACGCTCACCTTAGGAACAGAAAAGATACAAATATATTCCAAGAGACCGTCTTGACTTACGATTTAATGTGAAAACATTGTCACAATAATTAATATGAACCGTACGAACACTTTAAGTGAAAAAATATCAACATCTTAAACTATCGGAAATACCCATGCTAATGATACCAAGTAGTTTAAGATGACAAATCATGGTCGGAAACCAAACAAGTCCTCCATTTAATACAACAAAGAAACTAAACGTAACACATCTTAACAATTCAGAAATATAAACTTAATTTGGAACCTGATCCAAATCTGTATCTCAAACAAACATGATCATGTGAAAAACAATGAGAAAATGAGTGGTAATAAACTCCACTCTCACAACTGTAATCCTGTACCAGGGAACCAAGCAAAATGAAGCGAGAATTTTTGTTTTCACTGTTGTAATCCATGATGTAAGGCGCATTTTGTTACTTGTCGTTTTTGCTGGCTTATATGAAATATGTAAAGTTTTCTACCACAGTATACAAAACCTTAGTGAGAACTAAGCTTGAGAACTGCGTTCAGGCTGCAAGCCCCTGTTTAAAATGTGACTTGAGTATCCTGGGAAAAGTAAAGAGGGTAGCTACCCGTGCAATTACAGAACTCCAGGGTTTATCATACAAAGAGCGGCTCGAAAAGCTGGACTTCTTCACTCTGTCCTATCGCAGACTAAGGGGAGATCTAATTTTGATGTACAGAATACTGAAAAATGATCTTGAGCATAACTTATTTTCTCTTTTCCTTTCCACTAGATCGAGAGATCTCAGAGGACATAGCAGGCGAGTAGAAAAGTCAAGAACGAACAAAATACCCGTGGCATACAGGTTTTTACACCGAGTCATTATTACTTGGAACGTGTTACCCTAGGCAGTGGTGCCTGCTCCTTCAGTTGTCGCGTTCAAGAGAAGACTGGACACTCATAGAAGCATACTAGAAAAGGAATAACATGGGTCGCAGACCTTCTGTCCTTATTACAAAAATCTGAAATCTGAAGATACTACTCCATTATGTTAGTGAGTCGAGTGTACGGCAGTCAGTTCTAACGGCCGTTTCTTCCGGAAGAAAAGTCACAACATAGTGGACATGCTTAACAGTAATTCTATAATAGGACTTAAGTCCTACATTCAGGCGAACCCGAGCTGCCAACTTTGAGGAAATCCCCAAATTGTCTACTTTTAAAAATAGACAATTCGGCGACATTTGACGGACGGAGCGACAATAAGGGGAAAATCCGTATTATTTCCCCCGGACAGGCGAAAAAGCAGACATGTTGGCACGTTTCCCCATTGTTCACCTTTATTTAACCTTTATTGGTTGCTTGGATTATCTCAAAATATTTACAATTCAGTGACTAAATAAACTAAAACATAATCGTAATTACTGACAGCGATCCATTTAGACGACTCAAAAACGCGGAATTTAATCCCATCTGTTAATACTGCATGAACGTAAACATGACAATTACTTCGGTTTGCGATACATACAACGTTGAAAATGCCGCCTCAGTCTGTTGCTTTGATCTGCGATATCTAATATCATTGTAGATGTACACTCTTCACAGAATTCCATGAAGATAAATTTCCAATCACACTTTACTCTCAACCAACAGAAGAGTCTTTATCCAGGTTTCTATTTTACCAATAAATTACCAAACTTTCTAGTTCTGTTCTAAGACACCCAAATGGTATAACCGAAGGCTTTACAGTGACATGTAGAATTTGTGTCTACTGGATTATTCCTCGCGCAAGAATCAGGTTGTAGTGGTAGGTAAATCCCCAAAATAAATAGCTCTGTAAGTTTTCCACATTGGATGCTGACCACATTAGTTTTAATGGACTCATCTAGCTGATGGTGATCGGTCATGCATCCGCACCAGATCACGAGTGAGAACACCGTGCTCAACAACCCCTGCAATCGCCAGCCAGATTAGATCACTCGATCCTCGATATATTGATAGCTCATAAAATATATATATTTGAACCTCCTCGCTTCCCTCTTTTTATTTCACTTGATGGGTACGATTCTTATTAGGTGTTACTGGTTAAATCGCTGTCAAACTCCAAATACCCGTGGCATTTTCGACGTCAACCAAATGTCCCTATAAACGAAGGACAAAGTTCGTCAGGACCTGTAAATTGGTACGACTTGAGGTTGGACAGTCTCGAAACAACTTCATTTGTGATAAATTCCTCGACCGTTAAGTGATTTTTATCATTTTTGATGAAAACACTCCTGGAATACTTGGATAATGAACAGTTTAGTTCACTTTGTCTCCATCTCAAGCTAAACCGTGTGGTACTATGGCTCCCAGTAACGTTGTTTGTCTAGCTAAATCTATCCTTATATTCAAAGATTGACACCCGGATGCTAAACGATTAATAATAAATAGTCAATATCAGTCACGACGAGCCCGGATGGATTACTGAATTTTATGGAACTAGATTATAAATCTGTTGATATTCCCTTGCGCTTGTTACCATTGAATTCCCTTCATATCTAAATAGATATTTTGCATGGTAACATTCTACCTGTTTTCCTAGTGTGCTATAGAAGCGAAAAATTCCACTGGGAGTTTGAACAAACCCAGGGTAGGGTGTTTTTTGGATTATGTGGCTTCGTGATAAGGTTCTGTAAGTTGCGTCGCTTACTAAAGTCACCTTATAGATTGTGGCTATTCACTGAACGGTAGAGGTAAGCTTATAATATCCATACTACTCTAAAGTCTACAAATTTAGTTGAGGCATAAGTCATAAAATTCCAGTAATTTTCCACTGGCTTATTATTCAGGGATTAATATCTTCTAATTCTTCCGTTTTGCTCAAAATAATACTGTAGACAGTTTGGTTTTTTACCCCTAAATTTCCAGCCAACAACAGTCAAATTTGGCATAGAGGAACAATATCACCGTAGTTAGCTACACCCAATACTTGACTAATATCATATGAGTGTTTTTTCTTTATGTTCTTTTAAAGAAGAATGATTTTAAGTCTGTTGTTTGTTGTACCCTGACCTCAAACTGTGTTCGCCAAATTCTACCTTCTAACATCCACTTGAAATGAATGAGTTCTTGTCTCTCATTGAACGATGTTCTGTTGTTAATGGTCTTGTAGTGGTACTGATTTTCAACCACATGATCTTTGAAACCGAACTTATAATTATCGAGAAGATTCACATTCAACATGTAACAATTAGAGAAGGTGAAAATGGTGAACATGGAAACGATAGATCGATGTGGTATGACTCGCGTTTTCGGATGTGGTCATTCTGTGTAATTCATACTTTTCCACATCATGTATATTATTATATCCCCAGCTAAAATATGTTGTTCAAAAATAATGAACATCATATTGCTGTTTGTCACAATATGACGAATAAGTATAGACTAGGATGTGACTTCCACGTAAGATTATACAGACTAGATAGTCACATCAAAACAAATCTAAAATGTTGGAATTAAGTGTATTATTACAGTAACGAAAATAAGTATACTAATATCAAACAGGATCATAAATCTATGATCTCACATTTAATCCTCCTAAGTTTCAAACTGTTAATTTTAGCCTGAGACATGATCATTATTCCAAAACCTTAAAATTCTGTCAACTTTGTACTGCCGGGGATCCTGTGTCAAAGCACACTTATTTTAGTGAAAATTGTCCCCTGATCTCTCTTGACTTCATGTTTTATCGATATCAAATTGGATTTACCGTTTAACTTTATGAAAAATTCTAGATTATATATATATATATTACTTACTCACTTACGCCTGTTACTCCCAATGGAGCATAGGCCGCCGATCAGCATTCTCCAACCCACTCTGTCCTAGGCCTTCTTTTCTAGTTCCATCCAATTCTTGTTCGTTTTTCTCATGTCTATTTCCATTTCCTGGCGTAATGTGTTATTTGGTCTTTCTCTTTCCCTTTGGCCTTCAGGATTCCATGTGAGGGCTTGTCTTGTGACGCAGTTGGGTGCTTTCCTCAATGTATGTTCTATCCACTTCCAGCGCTTCTTCCTGATTTCTTCCTCCGCTGGGATCTGGTTTGTCCTCTCCCACAGTTAGTTGTTACTAATAGTGTCCGACCAACGGATCTGAAGTATTTTGCGTAGACAACTGTTAATAAACACCTGTATCTTCTGGATGATGGCTTTCGTAGTTCTCCAAGTCTCCGCCCCATGTAGTAGAACTGTTTTGACATTTGTGTTGAAAATCCTGACCTTGGTGTTGATTGACAGTTGCTTTGAGTTCCAGATGTCCCTCAGTTGTAAATATGCTGATCTTGCTTTACTGATCCGCGCCTTCACACCTGCATCAGATCCACCCTGTTCATCAATGATGCTGCCCAAATATGTAAAGGTTTTTACATCTTCCAAATATTCTCTGTCAATTGTGATAGGATTGGTGCATGCTGTGTTGTATCGGAGAACCTTGCTCTTCCCTTTGTGTATATTGAGACCTGAGGCTGCTGCTACACTGGTCGTCTTCTCCTGCATTTGTTGTTGCGTTTGGGATAGAAGGGCCAGATCATCTGCGAAGTCTAGATCGTCCAATTGCATCCTAGATGTACATTGTATCCCGTGTTTCCCTACAGATTTTGACGTCTTCATGATCCAGTCGATCACCAGGAGAAAGAGAAAGAGTGAGAGTAAGCAACCTTACCTGACACCGGCTTTCACTTCGAACGACTTTGTCAACTGTCCTCCATGCACGATTTTGCAGTTTAATCCATCATATGGATTCTGTATGATATTGACTATCTTCTGAGGCACGCTGTAGTGTCGAAAAAGCTTCCATAGTGTTGTTCTGTCCACGCTGTCAAACGCTTTGTCGTAGTCAATGAAGTTGATGTAGAGTGATGAATTCCATTCAATTGATTGTTCCACAATGATCAGCAGAGTTGCGATTTGGTCTATACACGATCTATTTTTACGGAATCCTGCCTGTTGGTCACGAAGTTGTGCGTCTACGCAGTCCTTCATCCTGTTTAACAATACCCTGTTGAAGAATTTTCCTGGTATTGAGAGAAGAGTGATGCCCCTGTAGTTATCACAGTTGCTGAGATCGCCCTTCTTCGGTATTTTGATCAAAAGTCCTTCTTTCCAGTCTGTTGGTACTTGTTCCTCATCCCAAATCGTATTGAAGAGAATGTGGAGTATCCTTGCAGTTGCCGCTACGTCTGCTTTCAGTGCCTCTGCTGGAATGTTGTCTGGTCCTGCTGCTTTGCCACTCTTGATTTGCTTGATGGCCATTCTGATCTCTTCAATTGTTGGTGGGCCAACATCGATTGCGAGGTCCGTGGGTGCTGCTTCGATGTTGGGTGGGTTCAGTGGAGCTGGTCGATTCAAGAGTTCTTTGAAGTGTTCTACCCACCTGTTTTGTTGCTCTTCAATGTTGGTGATTACATCGCCTTTCTTGCTTTTCACTGGTCGTTCTGGCTTGCGGCGATTTCCAGAGAGTTTCTTTGTTATGTCATACAGTTGTCTCATGTTTCGTTCTCTTGCAGCATTTTCCGCCGTCATTGCTAAATCTTCCACATAATTACGTTTGTCAGTTCTGATGCTACTTTTCACTTGTTTGTTTACTTCTGTGTATTCAGCTTGTGCCTTGGCTTTTTCTGCTCTTGTTCGACTGGTAGTGATTGCTGCTTTCTTGTTCTTCCTTTCTCGAATCTTATCCAGTGTATCAACAGTGATCCATTCCTTGTGATGACGCTTCTTGTGATCCAGGAGCTCATGACATGTTGAAGTGATTGCATCTTTGATCCCTTTCCAGTTGCTCTCCATAGTAGTTCGTTCTCCATTGAGTAGATCATGAAAGGCCTGGAACTTATTGCTCAGGACTATCTTGAATTTATTGAGTTTGTTAGTATCCTGAAGAAAGGCCGTATTGAATTTTTGTGATATTGTCCGCCCCGTTGTCCAGTACTTCTTGAGTTTCGATTTCATCTTGGCCACCAGCAAGTGATGCTCTGAGGCTATATCAGCTCTTCTCTTGGTTCTCACATTTTCCGTCGTCCTCCTGAAATCTTAGTTGATGCAGATATGATCGATTTGATTTTGCATAGTGTGATCCAGTGAAGTCCATGTGGTTTTTTGAATGGGTTTATGTGAGAATATAGTGCCGCATATGACCAGTTTATTGAAGGCACATAGGTTTACGAATCTCTCACCATTTTTATTCCTTTCTCCCAGTCCGTGTCGTCCCATGATTTCTTCATATCCGGTGTTGTCCATTCCGACCTTGGCATTTAGGTCTCCCATCAGAATGGTCAGGTCCTTTGTTGGGCACTTCTCGATGATTGACTACGGCCTATCGTATAATTGATCTTTAGCGTCTTCATTGTAGTCGCTGGTAGGCGCATAGCATTGGATGACGTTCATCGTAATACCCTCTTTCTTTGTTTTGAATGAGGCTTTGATAATCCTTCGTCCATGAGATTCCTACCATACAAGTGCATTTTGTGTTTGTTTGGATAGCATCAATGCAACTCCTTGTGTATGTGGGGC